GTCAGGCCTGAATATCCCGGCAAAAATGCCGGCATATTTAGGCCTGGGCAAAAATTGCTTTTGGCAAAAATTGCTTTTGCTCTAAAAATTCCAAAATTTTGGATATTTGGGCCTGACGAAGGTGCTACGCACCGAAATATCGCAAGATAAGATATTTTAAAAAACTTTTGAGACTTTTGCTGTCTTTTGAGTTTTTTGGAATAAACTTTTGGAGTTTCACATTGTTATTACACATTCAGATAAGAAATGAGACTCCGGGACAGCACCATACTCCAAAGAAATGATTTCTTAAATAAAAATATGGCTCGGAATTCCAGGGTATTTATCCGCATGAACCAGCTCACAAGAAAAAGGTCAACAAGGGGTCTACTGAAAACAGAGTCTGGTATTATCGGAAGGACATTAACTTCCTTGCTCATGAGCCGATAATCAACAAATTTCGCGACTATAAGGTGTGTTGTCATTTTTCAAACAAGGATTTGTGGGTAATGCTGGTGTTTGAAGGTTTTCCTGAGGAAGCTCAACCATTACAAAGCAAAAAAGGACGAGTCGAAGGTCAAGAAGATATATGCTAACAAGCCAGAGTATGAATTGGATCGAATGGTCAAGGAAAGGTGACTCTTTACTATGCTCTTCCCATCATGTGTTTTGCACTAATTTTTTCGCTTTTAGGTATCCTACCTTTGGATCAGCTATACGTGATCTCGACGATGCACTGTGTTTGTGCTTTGCTTTCGCAACGCTTCCTCATACTCGAATCCTTAAGGAGGGGCTTATTGATAGTTGCCGACGGCTTACAGCTGAATTCATGCATTATGTGATCGAAGCACATGCCTTGAAGAACACATTTATTTCCATAAAAGTGAGTCTGTTACTTCTCACGGCTAGTTTCCCTTCACCGTGCAGAATTTAATTTCTTGCGTGTCATTAGAAACCTTTTTCAGGGTATCTACTACCAAGCGGAAATATGTGGTGAAAAGGTTACCTGGATAGTTCCTCATGAACGCGGATTACCACATGTTACCGATGTGGACTTCACAGTCATGGTGAGTAACAATGTGCTTTATGTCTGTTTTGATTACAGAATGTAAAGATACTGTAACGAATTTCTTTTCTAGGTTCAACTTAGTGCCATTAATTTCTCACTTTTTAGCTTTTAGTTCACTTTTTTTTCACTCGCTGTCGCGTTCGCAGCAAAATCCAACACTTGCAAACGAGACTTGCTCTCCCGCGCGCAGTTTGGCTTGATAGAGCTAAAAATGCTACTCAAGGAAACTTATACTGACCAGCTAGTGAAAAGTGTAAAATCCTTCAACCAAATGGCTCACTTGAACCATTTCGCAGTTTCACAGCAGTTTCCAGTTAGTTATATAGTTAAAATGAACAAACAGAAGGA